ACTGTTTACAAAGAAGTGAACAGGGTATGGGAAACCCACAAGGGTAGGTTAGTCCTCTGACACAGAGTGTGACTAGGTCTAGGCCTCAAGGGAGAAGGAGAAAGGAGGTGTTCAGAATCCAGAGAGAGAGGGAGTGAGATTGTGTGGTGAGGGTGCCCAGACAGAAACTTTGCATTGGTTTAAGGGTGAATGTGACCTTCTCTGACCCTGCAGGGATAGATTCCAGAAACAAATATTCTGAACTCAGCCTTCTTTCTCCATTCAGGCCCTCCCTTATTGGCCAAACTAGTTGATACAATTCATACAGGTTGGTCTCCTGGAGTAGACAGCAGGATGGAAAAGGGTGGCAATTAATCTAGAGGGGCAAATGGAAGATACCCAGCACCCTGTAGAAATATCAGTACCTCTGTGTTTATCAATATTCAAATATACACATATAGATACATATCTGTTATAAATATATTTGGATTCAGCAAAACTCAATGCAGGATATAAAAGAAAATTGTGAGTGACAACATATATCCCTGAGGAATGGCAGTCTCTAAACAAAACCCTTCTGAGCCTTATTAAATAAGATTGACCTGATGCTGTCAGTGCTTGGTTACCATGTGGAGCTTGTGGTATCTGCGGGTAATCGCTCCCATCATGTCTCTGACAGTACGCACTGCAATCTGGCTTCCTGGCTGCTTGTTTCTTCTTTCAGTTGGATACTCACAGGTTTAAATTTCAGCAGAAGCCAACTCATCACATGATATTTACAATCTATATTTGCATGCCTCTGCGCCGCAGAAAATTAATCTCTTAGTGCTTTGCCCTCTACCTGTCCTTCATTCCGTGATGCCATCTGTGATCATTTAAGCACATTTGATGTCACTGGATGCCACAGATTACCAGTACCTCACTTCCCACCACGATGGGTTTATACATCTAATCTTCAAATATGTGAACAACCCAATTCCATTTGAATGTTCATCTCCTGAGACTACTTCTAGGACCAGTATCACATAGTAAACCTGGCAGGTAGCCAATGACCACTTAAATTGGTTAATTTGGGGAAGGTTTAAAAGGGATTATTACAAAGCAATGTGTGTGGCATAGGGACTGCCCAACGGATAGTGTAAAACTCCTAGGACTGATAACTTCTGAGAGCTGTTACCTCCCGTATCCCTGAAGGTACAAGAAGAGAGGGAGGTTATGAGCACTGGAGGGAGAGCTTTGAAAGAGGATCGCTGGGCAGAATTTATGGTCTTGGTCCAGGGATGCAGCCAGCTGTAGCATTTCTGCAAGTAAGGGGACTGGGGGAAACCACTCCAACTGCACTCTCTTCCCTGCCAGTGACAACCTCTGGTTAAACCCAGTAAGTAGATAGAGAGCAAAGGAGCCCACCGATGCAGTTAATACAGCTGAATATCCTGGAGCAAAGAGGAGGTTAAAAACGTAGCAAATGGATTTGGAAGGACAAAAGAAACGTATTCAACATAGAACAAAAGTATCAGTATCACTGAACATATGTGCTTTAGCATGCTATAAGTAATATAGTATACATAATATATGTGCACACATATGTTTAGTTTAGCTTCTAAAAGAGCCTGCAGATTATGGCTGATTACATTTTCACCAGGAAATTGTAGTTTGAAAAAGTGTTCCTGCATCATGAAATAATACCCAATTTGTCAACAGACAATTTTGTTTAATTGTCTTGTTAGTTATTTCCCAGGCTATGAACTCCTGAGAGATTGGAGGAATCTACAACCCTTGGGAGCTACAAACTGATATAAAAAATTCTGGGATAGACAGGTTTGAATTCTGTTGAAGTGATGGTGTTGCTGAGAATTGTAGGTAAGTTGCCTAATTCAGATGTTATAGGTATATGGAAATGTTGTTTGTTTCTCACAACCAGTCCCAAGTTCATTTATGTACTAATGTAATCATACTAATGATGTGATAAGGGCTAAGAAAGGGCCTCTTTTGAAATATCTTTACCATCTTTCTATTGAAGTTTCTGAAACTGCTGAGAGTTCACAAAGAGAAGTAATATTTCTCACTATTAGAGACAAAAAAAAGAGCAATTAATATTACAGAAAAGGACGAGGGAGAAAAAAACTAAATGCATAAATGAACTTACTACAAAGCTACAGAATTGACAGTGAGGTGCT